GGCGCAGGGATGGGACTGCTTTAGACCCCCATGTGATAAGGTCCATAGTGAGCCATACCTTCTCATGATGTGGCCAAAGTATGACAGTCTCAATTTGATCATTCTTGGCTTCCAGGGAGAATTCAGGCTTGATCTCTTTTAGGACCCATTTGTTTGTCTTCTTGGCTGTCCACTGTATCCTCAGCACTCTTTTCCAGTACCACAGCTCAAAAGAGTTGATTTTCTTTTTATCTGCTTTCTTCACTATCTACTTCTCACATCTGTACATGGTGATGGGGAATATAATGGATTGGGTCCTAGTCCAATGCTCTAACAACAACAACAACAACTATTATTATTTCTTACCTGCCACTCCCCATGGATTGAGGCCAAAGACAAAAACTATTTTAAAAAAAACGAATATCAGTTAAAACACATCTGTTAAAACAGATATCACTTTAACAGGATGAATAAGATGCTGACATATTAAAACAATCCACATCTAAATTCATCATTTAAAATTCACAATTTAAAAATCATCTGGATAAGCCTACCAGAAGAGAATGGTCTTCAATGCTCTTTTAAAAATCACTACACCATGCTGGCTCTACACCTCTACACCAACTGTACCCATGGAGGTTAAGGCTGAGTAAATCCCATTCAATTTAATGCAGCTTATGTCTAAGTATAGACTTGCACTGCTGGTCATCAAGGAGCCGCAAAGCTGGAAGTCCTCAGCTGTACTGCTGAAACCTGAGGCTTAGCTCATAAAATTAGCTCATTTTAGATATTGTACTAGGTCTGGAGATCCAGCGTGGCATAGTGGCTTGAGTGTTGGCCTATAACCATGGAGACCAGGGTTCGATTCTCAGCTTGGACACAGAACCCACTGAGTGATCTTGGGCAAGTCACATGCTCTCAGCCTCAGGGGAAGGCAATGGCAAACTCCTCTGAACAAATCTTGCCAAGAAAAAACCATGATAGATTTGCCTTAGGATCACTTTAAGTTGGGAATGACTTGAAGGCACACAACAGTAAAAACAACTAGAAGTTAGCTTTCTGTTTAAAATTGTCATTTTGCACATTTGACAAAACTAATAAATGTTAATCTTTGTACTAGGACGGGAGTGGGAAGTTCTGAAAAAGCCAGATTGAGTAGGAAAAGATGGGCTTGCAGAACATAAAGTCACAGCTCTTGATGACATGAACTCCTCTTCCAGTAGATCAGTGGTTCCTAAATCTTGGTCCCCAGGGTATTTTGGACTTTTAGCTCCCAGAATTCCTAACTTTTGGCTCAGGATTCTGGGAGCTGAAGTCCAAAACACCTGGGAGGATCAAAGTTTGGAAGCCACTGCTGCAGATCCTATGACTGAATGTCTGGATTTGGTATTCTCCAAGTCATATTGACTCTTAAAAGAGGCTGCTGCTACACTGCAGAATTAATGCAGTTTGATACTGCTTTAACAGTCCTGGCTCCATCCTATGGAATCCTGGGATTTGTAGTTTGTGGTGGCACCAGAGCCGTCTGACAGAGGTCTCTGATATAGAAGGCCAAATAGCTCACAAAACTATAAATCCTAGAATTCCATTGTACTGAGCAATGACAGTATCATTAATTCTGCATTGTAGATGCAGCCTCCTTATTGCTTTCAGATTTTTGGTCACTGTAACTACTTTGTAAACATAAGTAAATGTTAAGGATAACTCCATCCCCGTCCCCAGTAATGGGAGTTCTGAATGAGCTGTCTAAATATGGTATTCCTTAAGCCATGAACTTGTGTAAAAGTCCTACTTGTATTCCTGGTCTAAGAGGCTTTGTGTTAAGAGTGGGAAAACTAGGCTCATGTCCATAGATTTGTAAGAAATCTAATCTAGAAATATTATTATAGCCAGTCTGTACTCTTTCTTTCCCTTTGGAACCTCTGTTCCTTAACGTAAGTCATGTACTGTGGTCATATGAAGGCCACAACCATGGCACAACTGTGGTATTTCAAGGTAGGCTGAGTTTAATACTTTAACCAGGTGGCTTCTTCCTCTAGTGCACAGTGCTCCTGTTAGGAGAAACTGATGGACTTGATTAATGATGGAAGTGTTACTACTATCTTTACTGCCCTTTTCTAATCTTTGTCTTGGTTTGATAGAGCAGTAGTGGCCTGTAGTTGTAGGATTAACACACGAGATGCAGTAGGAAATTGCAATGCAGCACAATAAGAAAGCTCACACCGCCTACCGTAAAAGGGTTCGTTGTGACAGAGTATGAGAACCTCTGGGAGCCAGTAGTGTAGTGGTTTGAATGCTGGACTAGGACACTGGGGGACCAGGTTCAAATCCCTGCTCAAACCATGGAAACCCACTGAGTGACCTTGGGCAAGTCACAGTCTCAGTCTCAGAGGAAAGCAGTGGCAAACCCCCTTTGAATGTTTCTCATGGCAACCCGAAGGTGAACCTATCATAGGGTTTTCTTGGCAAAATTTGTTCAGATGGGGTTTGCCTTTGCCTTCCTCTGAGGCTGAGTGTGACTTGCCCAAGGTCATCCACTGAGTTTCTGTGGCCTAGTGAGGATTTGAACCCTGGTGTCCAGAGTTGTAGTCCAATACATTACGCTGGCTCTCTCAAGGCACAACTAGGCAAGGAGTTATGTGTAGAGACACTGCTAAATTAGCTGCCTTCAGAAAACTGAATTCTATTCAGCAGTTTTGAATGTGGCATGTACCAAAGACAGATCAATCCAACTACTGAGAAACCATTGGAAATAAATGCTCATTCCTGCAGATTATACCAATTCAGCCAAGAAATCCCTAATTTCTGAAAGAAAACTTACCTGGTAGGCAATCAGATACACTATAGGAAGCCCGACTTGGTTACAGTGAGGTGACAGCATTAGCTGAACCATGTTTCGACATTGAACAAAATGTAGTAGGAGACCGTTTTTTCACCTGTTTCTTCCAGTTTAGAAATGGCAGAAAGTAAGGGCCTTTGCAGACTGCCAGAAATAGTGCAAATTGAGTTCACTTTAACTGCCCTGACTCAGTGCTAAGGAAACATGGGAACTGTAGTTTATTGTGGCACTAGAGCTCTCTGGCAGAGAAGGCTAAATGTGTCAATTGTAAAAAATACAATTCCCATGATTCCCTAGCACTGAGCCAGGGCAGTTAAAGTGGACTCAATTTGCACTATTTCTAGCAGTCTGCAAAGGCCCTACATCAGAGATCAAATGTATTCAACAGAGTAAGCCATATCCCACCCACCAAGCAATAAAATAAAATAAAATAAAAATAAGAAAACTGACAAATAGTACAACCAAGTGGGAAATTTGTTTACAAAGATGACTGGAGCTTTTGATGTTTGGTTGCCTGTAGAGTAGCTTGTACAAAGAAGTTATCTACAGAAGGTTCTCTGTAGAATAGCTTGTACAAAGAAGGGGACATGGGACATTTTTCCCCCTGAAATACAGTGGAATTTCTATAGGGTCAGAAAACACTCCAGAGGTCACTCAGTGAAGTTTTTTATTTAATCTGCATGGATGAGATTTAGGCAATTCATTGCTGTTTAAGTAGAAAGTTCTTGAATACCTATACCACTTGAGTAAATTTCTGTAATACCTTATTCCTTAAGTCAAGGCAATAATGTATACTTGTAATTTTGAATTGTGTTTGACCTACTTGCTTTTTAATCCACTTCTTTGAAAAGTAATTAACTAAAATAGTGTTACTGAGTTCTTAAGCATAATTTGTCACATCCTTTTTGATACATTAATATAGCACTCTTTCTTAAGTGCTTTACAATGTTTATCCTTTTCATTCTTGCAGCATCCTTGCAAGTTAGGTTATAATTAAATACAGCAACTTACCCAATACCACAGAGAGGATGGTTTGAAAAACCAAATTGTTCTTGTTTGATGATGATAATAATACTTAGTTCTTATATATAACTTAAAAATTGTTTCAAATACTATGACTTGTTCCAAGTGTTATGACATATATACAGCAAGGATGGGCAATGTGTGGCCCTCCAGAAGTTATTGGACTGCAACTCCCAGGATTCTTCACTTTTTGCTGAGTTAGCCAGAGATATTAGGAGTTGTAGTCCAACAACATTTGGAAGACTGCACTTTACCCTCTCCTCATTTATCTTTTTTGTGATTCAAAATTTGATTTTATTGAATTGTTTTAAAATATATGATTGAAAAGCCATTTTAGCATGTTTCCACATTGAATCATATTGTGTATAAGTATGTAATTAGTGGTTGTAGAAGACTCTCTTATAAACCTCTTTTGAAATAAAGTTTTCAAATAAAGCTGAAATGTTTGTGAACATATTAATTTTACTAATTTTTAGTTTGAGTGGTTTTGGTTTTTGTCTTTTTGCTTAGCTTCGTTTTTATAAAGTACCATATTTTACCTATGACTTGTCTAAACACTTTGGAAGTCTGATGCATAATGTTCACACACAGGCAAATAATGACAAGTTCAGTCAAAAGGAAAACAAGAATAATTTATAAAAGGAACTGTAGATAATGATGCCAGCCAGTTCTTTTAAAGCGCATCTATCTCACCTTTAATGAATTAGATTTGTCAACAATGTATGCTTTATACACTTACTTCTAATGAAATGGCATACCAGCAGTATGGTGTACTTTGAGGTTTATGCTATCAAAGCTTTTTGCTGTCTTAAAATAGACCTTTTAAATAATAGATACTAAAACTACATTTAAATAACATTAAGGTTGCGACACAAACACCAAATGACAAACTTCAGACAGTTCAAAGTCTGGCATCTTGTCATTAACTCATATCATTGCTTTTTAAAACAAACAAGCAAACAATATATGATTTAAGAGACTGAGTGTCAACTCAACTTTATATATCTTGGCTTTTGTTATTGGTGTCACAACCTTGATGTCATTTTCACTTAGGCTTTCAGTCTCTTTTGTTAATTTTTTAAAGAAAAATAACTGAATGGCACATCTAAAACAGACACACAGCTTCTTCAATAGGTTGCTTTGAGCCTCAAACTAAAATCCAGAAAATTGTATCTTGGGGTAGCGTGTTTGTATTTAAGATGCCAATCTTTTGTTTTTCCTCATAAACCATACAAATAGCTCTTCCAGGTAATGCATTTTAAAATTTCCTTTATAATTATATATTACATTTATTATTTTATATAATGCCTCTTAGGATTTAAATCTTTCAAAGGTGATTCATAGTTAACTTGACTGAAAATACACTAATAAAATCAAAATGCAAATATAAATACTGAAATCACAATCCTTTTCATATAAGGTACTCTATGTGGGTAGGAGAAGACAGTGCAGCTGGTGTCGGTAGTTGCCTGCTGTTGTCTTCACCTGCTTCCCTGGATCCCTGCCTGCAAGGCATTTGGTGGTAAAAGATCTTATAAGATGGTGGAATGAAACAGTCCAGCAGGAGCAAGGTCTGAAGTGGTCTTTCATGCTGTGTGATGGTCTATAAAAATTTTATTTCTTAAAAAGCCCAACACGTTTCGGCTTTGTCACCAATTGGCCTTCTTCAGGGGCTATTATAAAATAAATAAAAGTACATTTATTATTGTTGTGGTATTGGGACAACACATAAATCACCTCTAAAAACATAATTTCTTAAAAATAAAATAGTACAGTTGTCCCATTTGTGGACTTGGAGTCCGTGGTCTCGGACCTTCTCAGACTGGCAAGTGGGGAGGGAATAAAATGGTGTGCGTGAAGGAGCATGCAGCCATTCAAGCCAATGGGGCTTGGATATTTGTAGTTTTTCATTTTCATGGGGGGGTCTGGAACGGATCCTCCACAAAAACAGAGAGGCGATTATCTATTATACATATTATTGTATACATAGCTATTACCAGAAATTTCTGGAGCTGTA